AATTTTGTATACTTTTTATGTTATTATCTAATTTATATCATTCATAAGTTTAATTTGAATAATATTTATTTTTTACAAGCGTTTTAAAAAATTTCATTTCACCAACCAAGGTGCCATTGAAAAATTAGGCATTGGATGACTATTGTGGCAGTCAACGTACTAAATAGACGACGTATGCGTTTTGAATTCTTTTAGGTCCTCGAATGTCTTCGAATTAAATCCTTCAGAATTTTAGGAGCTTTTACCGGTTAAAAGATTGCCTTATTAAAACTTACACAAAGATGCGTACATATATAATATAAATAACGTAACTAGCTAAATAAATATAAATTTCCAATGTATGTACAAAGAACAGCCGCGAAAAGCACATTAAAAAAGGAAAGGACCGCCAGTGATAACGAAAACGCCGGTAATGAAGCCTATTATCACGCTCGCGAGAAGGAAGACTACGCAATTCCATCTCTCTGCTCTTTACCGTCCTTTGGAACGGTAGGAATGCTAGGATAACGAAATCGATCGTCGATTATGGAAAGCAAATAGGTTCCCTGCCGGAAGTATTTAAACTGTTTGCATAGAAGAAATTTTCGTAATACGTACATAGCGATATATTTTTTTAAATTTGGTCTCCTCATCCAATTAATTAAATGGCGAGGAATTTAAATCTATCCTATTGTTTATTGTGCAATTTTATCGCACTTTCGCTCTGGTTCAGAAGTTCACAAAAATTTTATATACGAAAAAATTATTAAAATCGTATCCTAAAATTCTTCTAGACACTTGGAATTTTTAGATTTTTAATTGTTTTTAATTTTTTACATATAATAGCTTTTACATATTATTATATAAATATCGGAGATTCTCCGGTTTTTAAATATTAATTTCGATGCTAATTGTTGAAACTTTTCTATAATAATCTACATAACGAAAATATATAGGGGAGACCGGGGCACCATGAGTCACAAAAATTCAAACTCTTAAAAGTATATCTAAATATAAAAATTTTTGTATCTTTTTTTTTTAATAATTAAAGCATAGTGCTTTGAAATTTAATAAGTATATTTAGTAAATATTTATTAGTTTTTAAGAAAAAAATATAAAAATAAATTTTTTAATAATATAAAGACTAAAATGTAAGGGGAAGTAGGAGTCAGCACGATACTCGGTACACAAGTATAATAATAGAAATGTTTATATGTTCATTATATATTTTTTAAGAAATGACTCAACTGCCTCATACCCGGGGCCATAAGGGGTGTCATAGTAGGATTACGCAAGAAATAACGGTGATAAAAGCTGAAAAGTATTTTCAATTAACTTATACATTCTTAGCATAGTCACTGATACAATAAATATAATTGCAACTAATAATTAATAAATAATACAATAGAAAATTATGAAAAAACAAATAAAAAATAATCATTAATATAAAATAAAAAATTGATAATTATAAAATAAATTTATTTGCTAGATAATAGAAATATAAATTACCCTTTTAGTATATATACTTTTTGTATTGTCGCGTTTCATCGTAAATATTTAATGTATGATTTATGGTACCTTAATTATATATTTAATTATACATTTAATAGAAAATAAATGTTAATAAAAATAAATGTTAAATTAGTACTTGTAACGTAATAAGATGAGAAAAGATACGCAAACCTTGCACCTTATCTTCATGTATCTTCTACTACAAAATCAATATTAAAACATTTTTATGCGATTAAAATGTTGCTATTGCATCACGAAAATCTTTAATGATCGATACTTTTCAATACTTTTCAATGAATTTAATCACTGCCATCTAGATAAGAATTATGGGCAACGAAGTGACAGTCATATAATATCAGTAGTGTCAATTTAAACATTCTAGATTATGTTGAACAATCGATGACCCATGATACTCCATGATCCATGGTGTCCCAGTTTCCCCTAGATTTTACGCCAAATATGTATATGTATATCTCTATCAAATACTATAAGAATTTACAATAAAAAACTATTAAAAACAGAAAATAAAAATAAGAATAAAAAATGCAAAAATAGAATAAAGTATTACTAAAAAAAAATAGAGTTAAAACCTTTTGCGAGACAGTTATATCTCACCTGCATTATTTGTAACAAAGTTAAAAGTTTAGTTAAAATTTTGTATAAAGACAAGAAAACTTTATAAAATTTTATTAATACTAATTATTATATATAAAATTTTAGTTTTCAAAAATTTATCTAAATTTAAGTTTTATTAAACTTTTTCGCAAAACTTAATTTTTATTATTTAATTTAATGTTTAATTTTTTAAATGAGTTATCTCTAAATTCAAAGATTATAGTAGATAAATGTAAGATTTAAAGAATCCAGAAATTCAAGATCTCTCTGATCGCTATACGTATTCTTCATACAGTTAATTCAACAAACAGATTATAGGGTTGTGCAAGGATCCTCGTCTTTTTAATTTTTTTCAAAAACTTTAACATATTTATTTATAACTTCATGGAGGCGTGCTGATAATGTTTCATTTCTCGCGCAAGAAAAATAAAAATTTCTAACTCAAAGAACCTAAGAATTCGACGGAATATAAAATTCTCTCTAAGAGACTTATGTCCGTTTCTACCAACTTAACTCAACTTCAATCTCGAACTTACTCTTCATCTAAAAGATAAAGAATTAGTTAAATCAAGATTAAAATTAAACTACATAAAAACGAACATTAAAGATTTAAAATTTGAGTTCAAGATTTTAAGATACAAAAAATCCGAATATACAAGATTAAAAAAAATCTTCTATTATATATCCTTTCAATCGTTTTTTATATTCTTAAAAATCCTTTCACGCAATGCATCGACCAATTATCGAAAGGAAATTATTCTTTTTTAAAATAAATATTTTAAAATAAATATTACAAATATTATAAAACTAAAACTTTTAATCATTACGTAGAAATGCATTTGCGTTCACAAAGAATCGAACTCATTTTCGCCGATCAGCACATTCATTAAAAGATCCTTCGTCTCTTCTGCCTCTGTACCGCTTCTGTCGCCGGAATATATTTTCCATTTCTTACATCTTAAAAATTCACTACTTCGATGATAAAAAAAGTTGTACAAAGGTCTTTACGCCTTTAACGCTTCCATCGAACTTATCACGAGCCGCGAACTTATCACGAGCAGCAATTCACGCTTCACGCCGCTGATTCGCACTGTCACGTTGATGCAGTTGAAAGCAGTTGCACCTTGCAATCTCCGTTTAGACGGTCCCCCTTACGTAATTGTATTCCATATACTGCCGACTGCAGAATGTTCGAGAGGCAGTTGAACAAACTTGTCGCGAAAAATCGCATATTTCGATAAAAGAGATTCTCGCGATTTTAACAAAATTCTTTTTCCTAATTCAAGATCGAGCTTCAACTGACGATCGAATTGAAGAGTTCATAATTTCAAGCTGAAAATTCGGAGAGAATCAAGCTTCAGAGGGAGGATCTAGAAAGATCTCGGGACTGTTTGATTCCATTTTGCGGTGCCGCGCGCCACAGCTTCTTTCCCCGTGTCGCGACGTCGCGATGTTAAATCGAATTTGCTTTCCAATCTCGACGCGATTCGCAAGAAAATCGATTGCAACGTGATAACGTCACAAAGTCACGACGTGCCTCCTTCGTGTTTTATAATTGGAATTTTCCCAAATCGAAGAAGACCGAGTACGCTTTTAAGGAAAAGACAGTTTTGCTGGAGTATTTAGAAATTGAACTAAAAATACAAATCTGAAAAATATACTCACTAAAATGTTAAGACTTTTTGCGATATTGCTTGAGATTTCTATGTAATTAGGTATTTTGATAGCCCAAATAAATTTATTTTCAGATATGTATTTATGATTAAAAAATCCTGCACAAATCATATGAAAAAAGTGACTTTAAATTGATTAAAATTGTGGTATTTTATGGGTTATGAAAAGCTAATTGAGTGTTTCTTCAGACAATCCATAAAAAATGGACAGATCAGGATTGTGACACCATCTAAAAGTCTCTATTTTGAGTTTAATTGAATTAAAAAGTATCTTTATCTGTTAAAATTTAAACTATTCACTTTTTGATAATTTAATGCTTTTAATGCACAGAATAATGAGACGAATGTAAAGAAAACACACAATTGTTTTCCAAAAAATTATTGCATACTTTTTGTAAAATTTTTTAAAAATAATTATTTTCTTTATCAGTTGATTCATAAAATAATAAACATATTAAGATACCAAAAAATAAATAATAGATAAAGATATTAAGTGAAAACGGACCGATGAAATTAAATACACATAAGTAACAACACCATATTCGGTCGAGACGGTTCTGCCTAATAATTTCTTGTAAATTTATACAATTTTCAATTTAAGTTAACTATGCGCTGATAAATTTGTTGATTTTGAAATACAATCTTGAACCAAAGCCGGAGCAATAATATTACAATAGATACAGTAGATAAGAATGATGCCGCAAACAAATCTGGTAATTTTTTTATGATTTTGCCTAAGAAAACTTTGATCAGCATTTCATAATCTATAAAATATCACAGTTCCAGCCAATTCAATCGAAACCACTTTTTCTGTGTGTCGTTTTTAGATACTTCAGCAATAGTATTCTACATTCCAATCTTAAGTTTCGCTTCGAACCTCGTGATCGAAACGCTCAAAAAAGAGCTGCGATTTTTTCGCTCTTATCAAAGACGTTCGTACTTCTCGTAGCGAGATTCTCGATTCGCAAGAATAAACAGAGGCCTTGAGACCTCCGCGTGAAATTAGAACCATCAGGATTGACGTTGCCTCGCAGCCTTCTTCAAAAATCGATATCACGAATGAAAGATTCCTCTCGCAAGATTCTCGAGAACGGAAGGGAGATCCTGAGACTTTTGAGGCTTCGCCGAAGTTCCAATCGCCGAAGTCAAAATCGCCTCGCAATTCTTCCGCCGGGTTGATCAAATCAAAAGCGAAAGCTTTCTCTCACGGGATCCTCGGGGTCAGGATCGCGCGGACGCGATTATGGGACCTCGAAACCCTCGCTTCGGGATTCGAAGATTGGCAATTGAATTGGTGTAAAAATCGACCGAGACACTGCTCTCACGGGAACCTCGGGTCGAGGATGAGCACGTAACAGTGCCTTTAGACGAGGACTTCCAGACTCTCGCGCGAACGTGCCTTTTGCTGTCCGCACTTGCCGTTGGCCTGCACTATCATTGCTACCGATTGGCAACCGGTCTCGGACGCCATCGGCCGCATCGCCGGCATCGCGAGCCTCAGTTTGTACCAGAACTTGCGACCACCACTGCCGAAGGCGATACCATTGCCGCCACTGCCACCGCCGCCGCCGCCACCATCCTGCCAAGACAAGATCGTCAGCCGATCGAAAGAGATATTGTCGGCGTCGCGACGATCCCGCCGCGATCGCTTTGCGATTGTCGCTGTTGTACTCGGCAGTCTCTTCAATGTGACGACGATCACTCGGACTGGAAGCGACGACAACTGTTTCAACACCGCACCGACGCTTGCATCTGTCCAGATATTGTCCAGGGAAGCGGGACTGAGCACAACGATGATTCGTCGAGCCGTGTTAGCGTGAGGACTGATTTCCAGGCTCCCTGCGAAATGTCAGAAGGTATTAGAATTTACCAAAGAAATTTAAATAAATATCAACAAATACAATTTAAATAAATTTAGTTTTAACTTAGAAATATAAGGAATTCAGTTTCAGCAATCTTGGCCTTGTTATACAGTGCCATAAAAATTCATCCACATAAAGTCTATCAAATGATGATGTAAAAAATTAAGACATTATACAACAGTAATTTTATTATTCTTTTATGCAGTATATTTTAAAATATTATATATATATTAACACTAATTGCAAAAGATTTCTAAATTATTTTTAATTTTAGATGTATTCTGTAGAATGTCGAACATTGATAGTATAATCAACAAATTTCAAGAATTCGCTTAGAGAATACAGATATTGATTTATGGCGTTTGCTATAAGTGTATGTTGCCAGCCTATCTCTATAGATAGAAATAGGCTGGCAAAAGCTTTATAAATAATTTTTAATTTTATATGCCAAAAGATATATAAATTTTTGGAATTTATCGATTACACTATCAATGTTCTATGAAATAAAGACGATATATTTTATTGGCATGTAAAATTAAAAATAATTTACAAAGCTTTTGTAATTAGCGTTAGTATGTTTCTAAGTATCCTAAAATATATAAAAGAATAACATAATTGCTATTTTATAATGTTCCAATTTTTTACACGACTATACAATAAAATTTACTAATGTACGAACTTTCATGAACGGTATATTATATTGTGATTAATGTTATCATCCCTGAATAATCAAAAACTCTTATTCATCACTCGATGTTTATAAAAAAGTCACTAACAGGTGCAATAAATCATACGAAATGTGTTTAATGTTATAAATTGGACTTTACTTACAATTAACATAAATATTATATTTACATATTATTTACATATTTGCATATTTAAATGCTTGAACGAGAAAGAGACTTTACTTTTCCTCCTACATCCTATAGTGAGAGAAAAATTTGGTATTTTTATATAACTATAATTACGTATTACTATAATTATAATTATTACTACTATAATATCAGTAAAGATAAATATACGTATAGTTTTATCAACAAATAGTTGATAATCGAAAACAAATGGTTGTTCCAAAAAATAATTAAATTATAACAATTATAACGCACGCACGCACACACATGTATATTTGTTGATAGAACTATACATATACATAGTTACTTATTTCTAATGTTGTAGCAGTAATAATCATTATAATAACATGTATTTTGTATAATAACAATTGTTACTGATACTTTCTCCCAATGTAAACAATTTATAACTTAACCTAATCCAAAAAATCTGATTTTAGTGCCAAATTAGAAATAGATTTGTGTTAGATTAGGTTTTCTAGGAATGCAGGGGAAATTAAGGCAAACCATGCAAATAAATTCTTATGAAAATAAGGAAATAGAAAATCAAATATTTTATCATTATGATATAATTTATGAAAAAAATCAAAAAATTTTTTAAATTCTATCTTTTATATAAGAAATATAATATTAATCTGAAAAATAGAAATGATCAGTAATAATCGCTTGATACTTCTGTAATAAGAATTCAAGAGAAATCGTGTTGAAAGATTTAAAACTGGGATTTAAGAACAAGAATTTTAATTCGCGACTTTCAGAAAATTCTTGCGTTTTTACAATTAAGTTTTCTTTTAACTTTCTCAAGGCTGAAGAAAAATTGCGTTGCATTGGAAGATTTAAACTAAGATTTAAAAATAAAAATTTTAATTCACGAGCTTCAGAAGAAGTCAAAAGACTAAATTAATATTAATGATTAAGATAACCTCGATTTTCTAGATTCTAATTTTTCTAAATTTTTAATCTTGCGTTTTTCTTTATTATATAATTAAATTTTCTTTAAGAAATGAAAAGAGATCGCGTCGCATCAAAACTATTTAAGAATAAACATTTTAATTTGCCAGCTTCAGAAGAATGCAAAGAAGAAATTTTAATTTTCAATCTTTTAAAAAATCTTTTAATAAATAAGAAAATCGTCTCAAATCCTTTAGAATCGTTTTTCTTTGTCTAGACAACTCAATTATATTTCTCCAAGTTAAGAGATTGCTTGATGATTTTTTAATAATGAGACGTTTGAGAATCACGCGTTATCGTATTGTTACTATCGAAAGCGCGTGGATAAATCTCAATTTTCGCTAGAAATGTCGCGCTATTTTTTTATCCCCCATGGAACATTCGCGGTGTCCGATTACAGAGTCAACTCGGGCGGGGCATTGCGCTGAATTTTGCACGTATACACTCTTTCCCAGAGGTATTCTGGAGTCTGGAAATATTGTTCGCCGATAGAGCGGACGGTTGGATTTCACGGACGATAAAGTGAAAGCAAACCAGCGCGGTGGCATGGCGCGAGCAATAAAAAGCCGGGGGTTCCCTCTGCCATCCGGGATAATGTATGAGTTACCGCGCGCCACCGTGTATATCCGGCCTTGATGCACAGGCGAGTGTGAGCTTAGCAAAAACTGATCGACCGAATAGATGCCGGCGTTACGGCCCGTTGTTTCCAGGAAAACTTCGTTAACTCCGAATGAAACGAAGGTGTGCGTTGTGTGTACACATGAGTTTCTAGCTATTGTATGTGTGCGAATGGGCAGGGTTCGATTAAAATCGGTCAGAAACTGTTGAGAAAATGGTGAGGAAAATGGGGAGAATGGAGATGATCTCTGACAGACAGCTGTCGAGAAGGTGAAATTTTGCTCCTACTTCGAACTTTAGTTTTAGGACGTAGATTCTAAAGATTTGTAATTAGGATGTATGTAGACTCTAGAGATTTATAATAGGTTCTAATCTAATAAATTGAGCTCCTATTGAGCCTAATTGAACCTGTAAATGGCAGTTATTGCAAAATTTCTTATTATTTTTAGGTTCAAAAGAAGTTTTCTAAATAGAAGCTGTAGATTAAGTAATATTAAAAGAGGCTCTATTTAATTGTATAAATATCAAAACAGATTTATAAGATTTAATTGAGGTTGAAAGTAGAACTAAAATGTCAGGGCGTTTCATTCAATTGTTCAACTAAAGAGAGATTCTTGAAAGAGAACAGCATAATTTGGTCTTTGTGCGATGTACAAGCAATTTTTTTACACGGAAATGAACATGTCGCATTGAAAGATTCAAGCTAAAATTTTAGAATACAAATTTTATTTCGCGAGCTTCAAAAAAATTCAGGAAAGAAAATTTTAATTTTCAGAGCTTTTTAAAAATTTTTTTATAAAGATAAAAAAGTCGTTTCAAATCCTTTAGAATTTTGTTGAAGTGTCTACATTCAGAGAAAAGGCATAGTAATGGCAAGTAATAGAAGTGATAGAGATATTCGAATCGATTTGCAAATTATAGTTTTCGTGAAGCCGCGGAACAAGTTAACGTAAACCGTAACAATAATCCCTATTACAGCGGGAACTCGCAAAGGGAGTTACTCGATCGTGAATGGGATTCCAATTGGGTATAGTTGCATACGCATTCCGAGTTTCATCAAAATTCTAATTTCCGAGGTCAACAAAGATCCTATAGTAAGTGTTGAGATTAATCGAACTGAGGATGAAGGGTCCAGGACTTCGAAAGTTGATTGGCTCATCATCGTCACTCGTGGACAGCGTGAAGGCAAAACTCTGCCTCTCTTCAGGACGCGTACCAGGAGAAAATCACGAATCCCCTGCGGATATGCGAAATCCCAGTCGCTTTGATAGCGGAACTTTGTTCATTGACTATCAAACGTCGGGCCGACCAACTAATCAGACCGCCGTTCTGCCAAAGTTCACGTGTTAAACCCCGGGGTACCTCTTTCACTACCCTGAAGCAATTCGACGGCGGCCATCATGCGCAGGCCGGACGTAAATTCATAAGCCATGTAATCGGGATATCGTAATTAGTAGAGTACACATAGTGTGTACGATACAAGATCGGGGAATCAGCGTTTGACCCGCATATGTTATACGTTACCTGATCGCGCACCTCATTGGAGAACGATAGAATGCACTCCATGCTCTCCGTGCAATCGGCTTAAAGCAGTAAGGTAACGAGCGTATCGGCTAATCGGACGATTGTAATCAGCCTGCTAATGTTGTCTGAGAGCGAAGTGCGCAATCTAAGAGAACTACGAGCTGATTGAATCGTAGCATATTCGATGCATATACAGAATGCGTGTACTCTATAAACTGTATAGAACGATTGACTTAGAATGAAGCAATATTAAGTAATTAGAAAAAATTACCGACTATATAATCATTTATTACTTGATGTCTTAGATGTCTTGTAAGACTTTTCCTTCGCTTTATGGTGATATTCTGTAATTCCAGATTTTTTTCAACAGTTTAAATTGCGATCATACATCGAATAAGTTTTTTTATTTAATAAAATATCTCTTCTAATTTAAAATATAATATATCTTTGTTGCTTTGTAAATAAATTTAACAACTAAATCCAAAGATACAAGGTGATCTATTTTAATCAACTCACTAGAATATTTCAAAATTCTTAAGTTTAAGACAAAAATGTTTCTAACAAAAGTTACTAGAAGTGAAAAATGATGAACTGACTGATCTTAAGATGTCCTTATAAAATTAAATCAAGATCACTTAAAATTTCTTAAATACAAACCTCCATTTTTATTGCATATTTTTGTAGTATATTGATGTCGAGATGTTTTTAAAATATTGGTTATAAATTCTTTTTCAATAAGAATTTTTTAAATTATGAGTCCTCAGAGTTTAAATATAGCCGACATTAACGATCTTGTATCTTTAGATTGATAATTAGTTTGTTTTATTCGTCAGATTTAATCCGGTTGTTAAATTATATTGATAATAAGATTCTTAAGATTCTTGTCTACTCATTGCATCTTGGATTGTGACGTCAGAAGCGAGAAAATACAAAAAGAAATTTTTGCAAATTATATTAAAATGTAAATATTTTTAATAAAATAATATTTACAATCGAATAGATTTATACGATATACCGAAAATTCTCCTTGCATTCC